CGCCCGCCCACGCTGCGGCTAGAGCGCCCCCCCCCAAGGGGGGGGGCTTCCTTTGATCCGTTCAGTGCTTTGGGCAGTCTTCTTAATTACTTCGCCAAATTTGTCTGGAGGTGGTGACGGTGCGAATATGCACCAGGCAATGCGCAACTGAACAAGAAATAGCAATCGGAGGTAACCTTGCATTCGTCCTTGCCGGACACCTCAATAACTCTTAGAGGTATGAGAGGAGACTATGTCTGAACTGAGGGAGAATGAGAGAAAATACAGAGATCTGGCTGGGCAGACCATTGGCCAAGAGTCATGTTTTGCGAAATACCCTTTTTTCACGCATTGAAGTCACGCGCCAAGAACATCATAGGCAAGGTCATCATCATCATCTGATTCAAAGCCAGGTCCGAGGCCTGAGCCTCCGAAGGCGACAGACTCGAGTGTGCGTTCGTCTGAATTCAGTGTTATCTCAGGGGGCGGGGATAGCGGCTGTTGGCCTTTTTTCTTAGGCACGGCGCGCTTCTTTCCTAGAGAAGCTTTTACGTACTTTTGAAGATGGCGAAGCGTATCGTTGTCAAGGGTTTCGATATCGACTTCAATCTCATCATCATCATGACGGCCAGTTAGAGGCATCGATTCCTGCACAATCTTGACAACATGTGCCAGCTTTTCCGGGGGGAGGTCATTGATATCATTGGAGAGAGCTTCCTTTTCGTCAAAAGTGAGCAGTTTAGAGACCCGGGGGGGTTTTGATACGGCGTGACCGGGCACAGTCGGTTTTAATCCAAGCTCCATATTCATTTGGACCTGAACCTCGGTCTGTGAGGCCTGCTTCTGTAGTGCAGCGATAGTCGCTTGCATGGATTCCATTTGGCGCTGCATGTTGACTAAATCAGCCACAGGAACCATGCCGGTCCCTGTAGATAGAGCACCATAGTCATCGTCGCGTGGGCCCTTTTTACCTTTCCCACTCTTCTTTCCCCCACTTTTCCCATTGGGGATTTTGGCACGCTTGTTAATTTGACCCTCCAAATCTCCGTCTGCATCACGCTTTGGACCTCCAGACTTGAACTTCGCGCTACCCAAAGCACCTCCAGCAATGTGCTTCCAGATGTTCTGAAGTTGGTCTTCGAATTTAGCATGAAGATTTCGTGCAGCTTCGTGCACAGGTGCCTCGGGGAGAACATTAAAAGTCATTGCGTTGCGAAAAACCAGGCGCATGTCCGCCGCAAAAGCATGAGGGTCAGGATAAAGACCACAATCAAGACCGCGTTTGACAGTACTCAAGTCCATAGGCGCATCAATAATTGCACCATAGTGCGGGACACCAAGTGCAACAGCATCCACAGGTGCTGAAAACCAGTCCGCACCTGCAAAACGTTCAAGGGAGATCACAATTGCATGACAACGCCGAAGAGCCTCGGTCGTTTGAAGACCTAGCAGTTCGACATTACTTGGATCGGGACCATTAGGTGAGCCATCACGGAGATGCGATGGTGCCTTGCGTGCGCGTCCAGAACGCTTGCCCTCGCCATCACCGTTAGACGTGTATTCTGCAGAATTTACCTGGATGGCACTACTCAAAGCTGTCGAGGTCAATGCCGGAATAGTGTCTTGCTTGTGCGATCGAACAGTCACAGGTGCTACATTGATTCCAGTGTGGTGATGTTGTGGCTTGTTCAGGGCAGCCTGAACACGACTTAGGTCTTTGCCGCCTAGTTTTTGCGTTGTAAATGATGTTTTTAGCTTCGGTACAGGCGGTGGTTTTGGCTCATATATCCTTGCAAGCTCCAGAGCACTTCCATCGGTATGACATGTCCCAGATATTGTGAATGGACCGTAGCGGTTTTGGCCCCGACCTCGGATGTTCAGCTTCC